ATATATATATATATGAACTGTAAGCAGACCTCCAGTGAGTATTAGGAGGGCAGCATCTGTTCTTTTCTTCTGCCTGTTGAACTACAACTGGGTGCTGGCTGAGCTCCCCAGGTCCATGTCAGCCATTAAATGGCCTTGGAGGTATGTACACACTGCTGCTGAGAAGCTGCCTTGCATAAGTGTGTCTGCATTGCACAATGAGGTACTGAATATCTCATTCTACAGTGTCACCAACAAGATTCTGGCCAATCAACTTGATGTCAATATCAGAAATGTTCTAAAACTGATCAATATACATTTGATCTGTGAGTATTCACAAAAGAAGGCTGTAACTAATAAGAGCCAGCATGGGTGTCTCAGAAACAAGCTATGTCAGACTAGTTTTTTTCTTTTATAATGAATCCCAAGGGGATGTGCTCCTTTCCACCAAGGTTCCCACTGCTTCACCTTGTTGGTCACTTCTTCCCTGTCCATGATAATAAGTTTCAAGATAGATCATCCCCTATGTTTAACCCAAAATGAAGGTTCATTAATATGAAATCAAACCTTTTAAAAAGAAGAGTATAATTCCCTTCCACTTTTTGTTTTCAAAATACATATTGTTTGGAACTTAACTCACTTTTAAATATATCATTTCAATTTTTCATAGTTGTGTTCAAAAGAAGGTAATTATTTCAAAATAAATTCAAAAGAGGGTAATTATTTACACTGAAATTGTACATTAGCTCATCTAGGAATTGCAGATCATGTGATTTTGAATAAGAATGTGAATATATCAGATTTCTCAAGCATGCTGATTTTGACATGGCAGTCTGCAAATGCCATTCATTTTGGTAAGCTTTGAGTAGCTGAACTTCTCCAGTGGATTGGGCCTGGTGATAGCAAATGTACATTGAAAAATAATGACTTATATTCATTTGCTTTGCATGTTTAGGTTTTAAAAAAATGTAACAGCATTTTATTTTGCAACTTCTGTTTTTATACCTTTCATTTCAAAATCTTTGGTAAAAACTGGCTCAGATTCTAAACAATCATTTCTGTACTGAATCCTTTTTTTAAAGGTACTTAAAAACATGGTGATAGACTGTAGAACAATTTTTAGTGTGAAGAAAACTGTTAGCAAATGTCCAGGATACATTGCAGAAGCTAGGAATGCACAGCTGGAGAAATATACTTGTCTCCAAGCTGTATATTCTTAATTTGTGATGTTGGAAAGCAGAGCAAAGACGTGCAATGGCTGAGATTTGCTAGCAGCTGATATGTGCCAGCTTTGCATGTATTTCCCTCCATTCATTGCAGAGAGTTACAGATGTTCTGTCCCTCATGAATCACACCTGCAAGCCCTAAAACCATTTTTTTTTAAAAAAACCAGCAACTGGTGGCAGATGTATTAGATATGAATGCCATGAAAGACTGGCTCAAAATTGTGCCTTTATTTTTCCTCTGCTCCAGATTCCAAGCATGATTCTTATGATACTATTGCAACAAGAGCGTAATAGTGCTGTAATTTAATATGTATGTATGCATGGATCACCAGTTATGTGCACCATGGAGTCAATCATTTGAAATAGGAGGGGTCATCAGCATATATTTGATTGTGGTATGGTCCCAGGGCACTTGTATGGATGCCACCATCCTCAAGTATACCCTCCATCTGTCTGGACTTGGTAGGAGCAGGTAGGCTTAATCCTCTGTTGTGCCACTTGTTCAGCTGCTTTTAAAATGTCATAAAATGAAGTTTACTCTCTTCCTTCCAATTTTCCCCTTTATCCTCAGCTTACTTCAGCTGCTTCAAAGTGAGTTCAAAGTGCAGAAGTAGCTTGCACTCACTTAACTCATCTGGGGGGAAGGAAGGGCAGAATCCTCCCAGAAAGCTAAGGCAAAAGAAAACCGCAGCAGCCTCTCCTAGCTTATGTGTTCTTCCTCATTAATAACTTTTACCATATTGATCACATTCTGGTGTTGCTTGGCCACACATGTCCCTGATTTCATAGGTGGGTATGTTCATGGTGCATGTTGAGTCAGCATAGCACAGTGGTTTCAGTGTTGGACTACAACTCTGAAGATCAGGGTTTGATTCCCAGCTTGGCCACTGGGTGACCTTGGGCAAGTCACATGCTCTCAGCCTCAGGGAAAGGCAATGGCAAACCTCCTCTGAACAAATCTTGCCAAGAAAATCCCATGATAGGCTTGCCTTAGGCTTGGCATTAGTCAGAAATGTCTTGAAGACAGATAACAACATGTGATCCATAAGGTTTCTAGTGCATGTAAAGCTGGCCCAACATATCTTGCTGCCTGAGGTAAACATGGTGCCCTCCTGTCTTCAGGTCTACATGCAGAAGCCAAACGGAACTCGCAGTTGAGTCTTATTTTGAGCTTTCACACCATCTCTCTACTAGATCTAATGGAGGGAGCAGAGGCAGGCTATGCATGCATGGCACACACATAGTGCTCCATAATTCCCCATCCCTCAACATTTGACAGCTGAGGCAGGCACTTCACTCTCTCTAATGGCTGTCTAATTTCATTATATTGCTGCTGACAACTAAGAATTTATGCGGTACAGTGGGAAAGGGCCTGCTGACTCCTGTGCAGAGCTTGAAATGTTATTTTCCAAAAGGAATTTGTTTTGTTTCATGTTACAGAGTTCTTTTAAAAAGTAACTTGCTTTTAACATTACTGGGAGGGGTTTTGCAAGCTGCACTCGCTGCCTGGCTTGGGATGCCGCATGTCATGTCACTTTTTCCTTTGAGTAAACACAGGGTAAATAAACGATTTAATGCAATGGTAAAAACTGCTGCTCTTTGTTTTGTGGTGCTCGCAAACTCTTCCTACTACTGGAGTTCACCATTAAAGTCCCCCCTCTTCTATTTTTCTTCTACATTTGCAAACAGTGCTATGACTTATCACATGGGAAGAAGGAATGTTACAGCCCAGCCAGGGGTGCTGCGAGAGGGCATTGGGCCTTATTTCATTCCTCCTGCTCTTCTTCTTCCTCCTCCTCCTCCTCCTCCTTACTGGCAGGAACTCTACATTTTCTGCTTAGTTACATATGTGTAACTACGTCTTATCTGTACTGCAGAAATAGTCCAGTTTTACACTAACTGCCATGGTTCAACGCTAGGGAATTTTGGGAACTGCAGTTTTTGTGGCACCAGAGCTCTTTGACAGAGAAGGCTAAATATCTAAAAAAAAAACCCTACAAATCCCAGAATTCCATAGCATTGAGCCATGGAAGTTAAAGTAGCATCAAACTGCATTATTTCTGTAGTATAGATTCGATTTAAGTAGCCTCACCTGGACCAACCATCCCGAGGGTCCTTGTTCGGACTGTGATGATGACTTGTGACAGGGCTCTTGCTTTTGATTGTCAGCCTCGTTTGCTAGCAGCAGGGGGCGGAACGTCCTTCTCCTGTCCCCCAATCGCCAGCTTGAGGAACAAAAGTCAAGTTGAAGCAAGACAATAAGATGGCGTTAAGTGCAGGAACCTTCCACAGACACCTTATATCATCTCTTGGTTTTCACTATTGCTTCACAGAGCAGTGATGTCAGATGTTACTGGTGCTGGGCAGTAGTAATGGAAAAAGCTGGCAGGCCAGTGGAGCACCAGGAGGAAAAGAAGATGGTTGGGTTCCTCAGTGGAGCAAAATCTCCAGGGGCTAGACCCTTACAGGGTCCTTATGGGACCTCAACTCTGAAAAAAGCAAACAAATACATTACAAAAGAAATTTCTATATAGCAACCAACCAGGGAGTGGCTCTAAGAGAAAGACCATTCAAGTGCTATGTTGTCTATATTTATTGGGTTTTTTTAAAAAATTGCTTTTAATTTTATGAGTAGTTTAGACACACACACACATTAAAAGGATGTAGTGGCTCAAGTGATTAAGACACTGACTCTGTTGATTGCAAGATTGGCAGATTGGCAGGTTGGCAGGTCGAGGCCTGGGTGCCGCATAATGGGGTGAGCTCCTGTCACCAGTCCCAGCTTCTGCCTACCTAGCAGTTCGAAAGCATGCAAATGCAAATAGATAAATAGGAACCACTTCTCAGTGGGAAAGTAAACAGTGTTCTGTGCAATCATGCTGGCCACATGATCACAGAGTAGTCTCTGACAACGCTGGCTTAGTAATGGAGATGAGCACCACCCCCTACGGTCGAACACGACTTGACAACCTTGTCAAGGGGAATACCATTATCTTTTATATTTTAAAAACTATGATTTCTTTTAGCTGTATCTATACTAGCAGATACAGATACCACCATTTTGCTGCAGCTCCACGCACCCATTTTTGCTCTAGTCTAGGGGATGGGGGGGCAACCAAGACCAAATCCCTCCCTGCTCCAGTGGCTCCCATTCAATGGAGCTGCAGGGTAGCTGCCTGCCATGACTTACTGCACTGGGCTGACACCAGCCCTAGGGATATCATTGCCTCTTCCTTTTTGTTTCCCAAGGAATTGTAGTCCAATGGGATTGTTTCCTTCTCTGGCTTCATCACCTACCTGAAGGATGAAAAAAAAATGAAGGAAAACAGGGCAAAAGCTGAGAGCTATTATGGGCTAGATAAGAGGATATTCTCAGTGGAAGGAAACTGAGTGAAACAAGAGGTGAGCTTATCTGCCAGGGATCAGGGAGTTCTGCTTTATGTCTGTTCAGTCCCTTTAAGGAAGTGAAACTTTAGTCTTTTTTTAAAAAATAAGGAAAAAGTAACGCATTTATACATCCTTGGCGCAGACTGCATCGTATTTTGTGGTACTGTTTCAAGGCCCACCATGCAAGCAATGGGAACACTTCTTCAAATTTAGTCAGGGAAGTGTGTTTAACCTCAGAGAAGGCAGCCTGGAGCAGAAACCATTTTGTCTTGATTCTCATATAAAGGATGAAAGCCAAAAACACTCTTTCTCAGTTCCATTGCTGAATGAATGCCAACTAAACTGCAACTGGATATGTTTTGCTACAGAATGTGTGGGAATGGATTTCATGGTGTGGCGGGTCTTATCATTTGGGGTGAGTTTTGGCCCCTCTTGTCTGGAGCGTTCAGCTGTATTGGGGTTTGCATAAATCTGCCATGTGCTCATGTGCTCAGTTGTGTTTCTGTAGCTTTAGAGACTCTGCAGGTAGATATTGCTACAGACAGAGTATCCCTTATCTGGAATTCTGAAATCTGAAATACTCCAAAATCCAAAATTGTCCACAACTGAGATAGTGACACCTTTGGTTATGGATGGTTCTGTGTTCACAAACTTTGTTTCATGTACAAAATTACATGAAATTAATATTTTGTGTTAAATTACCTTTAGGTTATGTTTACAAAGTGTTTATGAAACATAAATGAATATCAGGTTTAGACTTGTGTGCCATCTCTGAAATATCTCATTATGCTATGCAAATATTATAAAATCCATCTTCATCATCATCCAAAATCCAAAACAGTTCTGATCCCAAGCATTTTAGATAAGGGAGACTCAACTGGTATTTGTAAACTCAGCTCAGATACCGTTACCAATTACTCATGTCAGTCACACAAACTGTAGATAAATTTAATTGTATGTGGACCATTCACATTTTCCTAGAACTAAGTTTTGTGTGTGTGTGTGTGTGTGTGTGTGTGTGTGTGTGTCTGGTAGACATGGAGACTAAAAGAGGAGTTGCTTAATGGTTGTGCTGAAAAGGGAATTTCAGCAGGTGTTGTTTGTCATACAACCAAATAACAACCAAACATCTGCTGAAATTTCCTCTTGTATACAACTTTTGAAGGTACAAGAAGGCATCTCCAGTTTTTACTTTGGTAATTCTAACTGTAGTGGATTTTTCTCAGAAAAGCAAGCAAGCAAGCAAGCAAGCTAGCAAACCCTCTCCCCAAATCTAGCATTCTTTTTAGGACTGCAATAATCCCCAAGCAGTGGTAAACACTTCATTTTATGATCCCTTGTACTAGGGCTAGAGCGGGCAACCTTTTTCTTCTGTCAGTGCCCTGTTCCCTAGGGATGAAAGAATATTTGAAAATGTTCCAAACTGGCTGAAAAGCATGTTTGTCAAGTTTCAGGAAACCCCAATGAAGAGAATCCTGGATTGGTGAAAACCTTTGCAGTTTGGAAATTATTTGCAGTTTGGAATTTATTCTGCACAACATTCAATGTGATAAAGGAAAATGGGCACAAAAAAGTGCTTTCTGCACAGGAAACAGAAAAGGCCCATGTGTGAATTTTGTACTAAAGAAATCCTGAACTCTGAATACTGTTCAAAAGCTGTACACTTTTCAAAGACATTTTTGCAGCAGGAATAAAATTGCTGCAGTTATTTATTGCTTCCTTTGAGCATGAAATATCCCTACATTTCCCTCATGGGTAATACATCAAGGGATAGATAAACATGGATGAAGTTGGCATGGGACAGGGCCAATGCCAAAAGAGGGCAAGTCTACTTTTTCTTTCCACCCCCCTTCCTCCCTGTTACTGGCACCTCTTTCTCTCCCTCCCTGTCCCTACCCCCCTTTCCCCCCCTATGTAATGGGGTGAAGGTAAATGAGATCAGGTAGAAAGATGTTATAAAGATCCATTGCTCCACTTTCCCAGACAAACTTTTATTTTTTTCTATTTTATTTTATCGTTTAATGGTGGTGAAGAAATCCTAGTGCCATCTTCTCTAGTCCTCAGCAAGATGACTATCTCAGGACAGAGGCCATGCATGGGTTTTGTAGTCATTCCTCATGACATTGCTTTTTCATCTGGCAACTATTCTGTATATAGGAATATGGTGCTGGGAGTGTTTACTCTCAGGGCTCACAGGAGAGAACACACCTTGGCATTAATAATCAGTGTCCATTTATTTGGCACTATAATTTTGTTTATTTGAAAGGTATGTTTTTATCTTTGCTCTTAAATAAAATCCCTGAAACAGAAACTAGGGTTGTAGCCACACTGCAGAACTAAAGATCTGGGATTTTTAATTAGGTATAGTATTCAGCCTGGTCTCTCAGGCTGGTGCCTCACCAATCTACAAATCCCAGGATTCTATAGGATAGAGTCAAGGCAGTTAAAGTGGTGTCAAACTGCTTTAATTCTACAATGTAGCTACACCCTAGAAGACAGA